ACTCCCTAAATATTCTTGGAATTTCTTTTCATAAGTCTTGAGTTGACTTGTTATTCCACCATATTGAATATATCAATGTTTAACAACTTTCAGGATATAAAATATTTCATTTAGAATGAACATATCACAAAGACAAGATATTTCTTTTTCTATTGTTATTTGAGAAGGAAGATCAATGTTGATATAAAGCTATATTAAAGAAATATTTGAGACAAAACTGATTAAACCATAACCCTAATCATTACATCATCATGCCCTTCAAATTTTGTTTCCTTTTTAAATTCTGTTTGTAATGAAAAATAAAAAAAATACTTAAAATAGCATCCATTCTAGAAGAAAATATTGAACAGGTGACTCATATATTACAAATGACAAAGAGTAAGTTAGTAATTTTTGACTTATTTCTTTCATCTTAATTTCAGTTGCTTTTTATTACATATCCCAAATGCACCTTATTTTATATTTCTTGATTATAGATGGGGACTCCCTGTCATACATTACATGTAGCAAAGACTGTTCTCACGGATAAGAACATTGTAGGCTTACAACATTAAGCTACTCAATGTCCTGACATTGTTATAATCAAACCTGTGTGGAAGGAATTGAAAATTCCAATGTGTAACAGAAAGCCATAGAACTTGTTGACAGTAAACCCAACAGGAATAGCTGAACATTCCTGATGAAACAACTTTTATGTTGTTTTCTTCTAAGTCATGTTGAGTTGAGGCTATACTTCATATCGTTGGGAGCTGTACTAAATAACAATTATGACTTTTAATGTTCCTAAATATATAAATTTATTTTGTGGCATTTTAATTTTCGTTCTAGCAATACAAGCAGTTAATTCTACATTTCCTCTCAAGGTTCATAACTTTTGTATGCTTTATTTTCAGTATCACAATACATGCAGCTTTGTACCTATCCTTGTAGTAGGTCCGTGTGAATACAACAACTTGCATTTCATTTCGAAATGACCAGAGATACTATCCCTGAAAGTATATTGTTGAATATTTGTTTGATTGTATTTACTATGGCTTATCAACCTTTTTCTGGTTATTTAAAGCCAGAAAATATTTTTAAATTTTATGAATTTTTTTTTTGTTATTTTTTTTAGATAATAATGGTTTAGTAATACTTCTTACTAATTAATCCATAGCTGGGGGAGAAGAGGTGGATTTATACATTACCCATGGGTATTTGCATGTAAGTGAATATAATGAACCCAGTGGGAATTGGAACTTCTCTGATTAAAAATTTCGAGCCATTATTCATTACACCAGCCACATATCCAAGCTTACAGCATTTGGTATTCCCAAGCTGCCACCCATCTACATATTGATACTTTGATGATCATACAGGAACCAGTGTTTCAATGTAATATGGTCATAAGCCTTTCTATTTCTTATCCAGGCTGCTGGCAAACAACTGTAGAATGAAGTGTGTACAATAAAAAGGAAATAAAATGAAAGAAAACCTAGTTAAAAAGTCATAATAACTGACAATGCCTCATTTAAGAAATTTGTTTGGAGACAGAAATGAGTAACCTGGAAGACAGAATCTTGTTGTTGTTACTGTTGTGGATGTTAATTCCTTCTTTGCCTCGGCAAATGTAAATTCAAGTAAAAAAAGAGTACTTCATAGTATGGACAAATAAATGTATAATTTAGTTACTGACATACAAAACTAGTAACTTTTATCTGTTGCTGTTACTGATGCAACACAGAGAGAGAGAATGGTGAAATTAGACATTGCTGATGGCTGTTGTTGTTGTTTCTCTCTCGGTGCATTGGTGTTGACATGAATGCTGGTTTGTGTCACACGTCCCTTGACTTGCCAGTGTTGACATCCAAGTTGGCCTGTGTTGAGTTTGTTTTAATTAGAAAATATATAGCCATCATTTGGATCCAGATTAAGAATTTGGTTTTTAGAGTGAGATTCACTCTGACTGGTCAATAAATTATTTGTTTTATTTTGGTCAAAGTAGGTGTGTGGAGCCTATGCACAGAAAACATATTTATGCAGTCTGCATTGGGTCGTCGAGCAGTCAACATCCAGTTTATGTTGAAAAATCTAAGTATTACAACAAATTTAGACATTACAAAGAGTAAACCTTCCTCAGTGACCAAGTTAAAGAGAAGAGATTGGTATAGTAGTAAACTATTTTAATGGTGTACACAGTCGTGTGTTCACTACCATAAAATGTATTAAGACAAGAGTCTGTGTGAATAAAATCAGTGACAAGTAATTGTTACAGTTTGAGTTGAATTATTGCATTCAAGTTTGCCAGAGTTGTTGAAAGAATCAGCAGCTGTTGGTGATAGGGACTTATATTGCTTTTTTGCTTTTGACCTTTCAAAGTTGATTGGTTTGAACCTTGGACTTTTTCCAGAAAATCTTCCCCCAAATCACTCTGCATCTGATACTCCTGATATTTGGGATATTAGTACTAAACTAAAAAACATCTGTTAATCCCTTAATGATGCCAAAATGAAGTCTCTTCTTCTTCTTTTATGTCCCATGTTCCTTCAGGACATAGGCAATTATGCCTCTCCACTTCTTCCTATTTCTTGTAGTTATCAATAAGTTTTGTCTTTTTACTACTTCCCCAGACCCTGTACTGTTATCCACTCTTTAAGCCCACTAGGAATATCATGTCTTGATTTCCCTTGTCCTTCTTTCCCCCTATTTACCCTATGTGTATCAAATCTTTCAAGCCTTCTCTTCTCATTACATATCCAAAAAATTTCAGCTGCCTCTTTCTGATATTAAGTGTAAGTTTCCTCTTTGCATCCTCTGCAAAACCTCATGTTCAGTCCATGGTATCCTTAGCATCCATCTGTAAAACCATATTTCTGTTGCCTCGAGTCTTTTCTTCATCTTTGAGGCAACCATCCAACATTCACTGCCATAAAAGAGGACAGATATTTACGTAGCAGTTCAGTACTCTTTTCTTTGGTACCGAAGAACTTCTCCTGTCTTTTAATACTCTGCCTAGCTTTTGGAATGCGTCTTTGGATCTCAGTGTTGCACTTACTGTCCTCTGTCAGAACACTTTCCAGATATTTAAATTTCCACACCTGCTTGATGTTAATGGCTCTGACCTGTAAATTGCATTTTGGTCTCATATATTTGCTGATGACCATGCATTCTGTCTTCTTGTAGTTTATGCTTAGTCCCTTCTTTTTTTTCTCCTTCACTACCTTCTGTAGGAGGTTTTGTAGTTTCCTTTCTATGTCTGCTATCAGCACAGTGTTATCTGCGTATCTTATGTTTAAGACTGTGGCCACCAATAATGAATCCAGGTAGGATTTCCAGTCCTCTCAGAACTGCCTCACTGTATAGGTTGAATAAAACCTATTCTAGCCTTTCTATTTTTGTATATATGCCGGACTCATTCTCTATCCATATGCAGGCTGTTTGCTGCCAGTATAAGTTCTTGATTATTCTAATATCTTTCCCAAATATATCAAGATTACTGATCAGTTCCAACAGATCTTTGGGGTGTACTTTGTCGAATGCTTTTGCATAGTCTATAAAACACAGGTGCATGTCATTCTGCATTTGTATTGCTCTTTCAGATAACATTCTAAGCATGAATATTGCATTCCTTGTTCTGGTGTCTTTAACAAACCCACACTGTTCTTGTCCTATCTCTGGCTTGATTCTCTTGTGCGCTCTATTCATCATAATATGGATGATGAGTTTTGTTATGTGGCTCATTAGGCTAATTGTTCAATGGAGTTCACATTTGTTTGTGCCTGGTTTCTTAGGTAGTGTTATAAAAATATATCTGCCGAGATCTTCCAGTATATTCCCAGTGTTGTAGATTTAATTTATTATTTCTGTGATCTTGTCTAAGCCCAAATCATCTAAGACTGCCAACATTTCTGATACAATTCTATTTGGCCATGCCACCTTGTTCTGTTCAGTTTGGTCAGATTCGGTAATTCTCTGTATTGCTGGTTGTTCTCTTTCACCGTGGAATTGTTCTTCAATATATTTGTTCCAGCGTTGAAGATTTTTTCCTTCTTTAATATGATCGTTCCACCTTAGATTTTAGGCATCCTGTTGATGAGCAAGTCTTCTGTCCTGTTAGTTTCCTTATTTGTTTATGCATATCATTCAGTATCTGTCTATATTTCTGAGATGAGATATTATGTACACCATTTACATTATTCAGACTATTGTCCTCATCTCTGTTGCCATGTTTATCACAACGTTTCAGCCATTGTACACTCCAGCCTTCTTCAGAAGATGTTACACTGACATTACATTTGATTATATATATATAAAGCTTGTTCATACATACCCACATACATATATCACTGATGGCCTATAAATCTTAAGTATTCTTATGCTTCATTTTTTATTCAAGTGTAAGAAGTTGTCTAATTATGACATCCATGAATGATTCTTAGTTAATGAAATACTTCTTTGCCATCAAGTGATTAAAAAAAAAAAAAAAAATGAACGAGTTTAGGTATGGGAATTGTACCCACAGTACTTAACCACAGACAACTTTTTTCTATAAGGCATTGCAAAATTGTAAATTACAATTGAAAAATTTTAGACATTTGAATCATTACCACAATATTTTGCTTGATCCGTTCTTGAGTTTTCATCAGGTGTATAACATTTGAGTTTTCATCAGGTGTATAACATTTGAGTTTTCATCAGGTGTATAACATTTGAGTTTTCATCAGGTGTATAACATTAGATTTTTTGATTGCCTGATTGGTTGTTTTTTTTTTTACAGCTTATTAACCTTTTGCAAGTTATTTAAAACCAGAAAATATTTGGAGAATATTTTGGAGATAATAATGGTTTACTGATAAAAGTCCTACTAATTAACCCATAGCTAGAGGGAGAAGAGATGGATTTATACTTTTCCTAAGGGTATTTTCACATAAGTGAATATAATGAACCTGGCTAGAATTAGAATCCAAAAAGTAGAGTTCCAATTCCAAGTCATTATCTATTACACTACAAGCAGATTCAAGCTTACAGCACCTGGTATTCCCAAGCAGTCACCCATCTAGGTACTGATCAGGCTTGATGTATCTTAACTTTGATGATTGTATGAGAACCAGTGTTTCAGTATAACATTGCTCAAACTTATCAAAGTGATTGTCTTTTCTGATCAATTAATATTAACTTTCTTGGCACTAATTTATGGTCATAAAAGCAATTCAACAAACATTTTATATATTTTTTATTTTTTTTATTTATGACCAAATCCAAAGATATTTTATTTTTCATAATGTTTTTAAATATAGATTTAAGGTTGAACAAGAAAATAGTTAAAGAAAATTATTTTTGAAGTTATTTATCTGTAAATAACATATAATTTCTTGTTTGAATTTCTGGGATGAGGAGTTATCATTATTTACACTATTTACATACAGACTATTCTCCTCATCTTTGTTGTTGTTATCACATTTCGACCATTGTGCTTCATTATATATATGTCAATCCTGATAACCTGCAGAGAATTCCAAACTGAACACTTTATTTAATATACAGTAGTGGATTGTTCTCATTCCACTGCTCATGTCTAGGGATATCTTATCTAGTTGTTATTTATAATACTGCTCAGTTATTGCTTATCCTGTTTCCACTGATTCCAAGTACAAACTGCCCGGCCCAGGGATTGAACATATTACTATATCACCAAATTCATGAACCAATGCTTTAATCCAATAGACTATTGTCCCATTGGACATGCACCTGATGAAGGCCAGAGGCTACAATGGTCTAAACATTGTTGTAACAACAATAAAAATGAGAATAATTGTCAGCAAGTAAATAGTATAAATAATATATCATGTATTTTGTTAAAATATAGAAATTATTTTGAATCTGATTCCTAAATTGCAAAATTAAGTTAGAGAAATTTCAGAAGTTCTGGTAATGTCATTTGAACCCTGATTTTTACCTACAAAATTTTGTTTTTTAAATTGCTATTGTCTACAAACAATCTGAGTTGTTTTATTATAATGATGTCACTGTTTGCTTTTCTGATATTTATATGTCACATTGTTTTGAAGAGGTTACTCTGTTATTATACACTATAAGTTTTATATATTTTTTCTTCTTTTTAGCTTCTTAAGTTCCAGTCGATCACTTGGAGCGAAAGGTTTCAATTTAGCCTGGACAGAACTCAGAGGGACAGGTTGGTTGTTTTTCATTATTTTGTCTAATATAACTTTATCACCTTTTAAGGTAATTTTTAACTTCCATTTTCCACAGATCATTAGGTATCATATATAACAAAATTGCTGATGTGTATGTGGGTGCTTGTGTTTGGATTCAGCTGAAAAAGGAGAGGAAATTGGATGATGTCAAAAATGTTATTTAACAACAAAAATATCAATAACAGCAAAATCAATAAACTTTAAAAAAAATCTAAAACCAACTCTCTCTCTCTCTATATATATATATATATATTATTTGAAAAAAGAAATTTTATAGAAAATTTACAATTGTTTATATTATTTAAAAAAAAGAAAATTTTATAGAAAATTTACAATTGATTATATATTATTTAAAAAAAAAGGAAATTTTATAGAAAATTTATAATTGTTTATATATTATTTAAAAAAAAGGAAATTTTATAGAAAATTTACAGTTATTTATATATTATTTAAAAAAAAAAGAAATTTTTATAGAAAATTTACAGTTATTTATATATTATTTAAAAAAAAAAAATTTTTATAGAATTTTGCAGTTGAATATACATTATTTAAAAATTCTAAATTTTTTTTTCAAGAGTTACTAGAATTTTGAGCTAATTTTTTTGTTGATTTTACTGTTACCTCATTTCTGCTTATTGATTTGCCAGCCTTCAAATTCTTTTTAAACTAGGAAAACTTTGAAGATAAACTCTATATTTTTCTTGTTTATTATATTTAAAATGTCCATGAATTCAATGATGGTGAAGTGCTGGTCATGTGACTTGAAAATATATTGTCATGGAAATGGTTTCATGATCTCAAATGCATTGCCAAGTTTTAATTTTGGAGAAAAGTTATTAAAACTCAGTCCTGGTAGAACACTATGAAGCAGTTACCGAAATCTCAAATTTGTAGCACTTAGTCATAATTTGTTCTGAAATGGAGTTGAGAATTGATTTTCTGCACTCATTAATTATTGAACTTGATCACTCCTCATTTCTTATGTGCAAATTATTGATTTCTCTCAAATATGCAATGATTCTATATCTTATTATTAGCAGCCCAACTAAGTCAAGAAAAATGATTACCATTTGTCATATGGAACCAACCATCATTTTCAGAGTTGCTGTCTTTTGCATCACTGAAAACAATTTCTTACCAAAAGTGAATTTCTTGTTAAATTTGAATTGCAACAAATGCTTAGAAAATCAAGTTAAACATTATTGTTGTATTTGTTGTAAGTTAAAAAGAATTTTTGTTTTGCTTTTTTGAACAACATTTTCAAGCATGAAATTGTAAAATAATTTTAACTTAAAACTTAGAAATCATTTCAGGACACACTCTTTGTTGCTTTCTATTCAACATTTTAATTGGTCTGCTCTCCAACCATCATAAAATGATATTTGCATCGTGTGACCTTAGGTACTTAAAACATTATTGATTTTTATTTGAGTTCTTAGGTGAAATATTTTCATTAGTAAATTTAGTCTACCTTAGCTTACAATAAAAATAAAATTCTGGTTTATTGCCAAAAAGAGAAACACTCAGGCCAAAAATATTTTATGCACATGAATAATAATAGCTAATAACCTGTCTCTGAAATTGCTTGTTTGCTAGGGAGGCTAGCTAATCCCTATTGCAGATGCCTGCTCAGACACATTTGTGCTTTGTCAATACCCACAGACTCAACTTGTGCTTTATACTGCAACTATGCTGAGTGGAGTTTAGTTACCGTTTTGGGGAATAACCAAACATCAATAACATGTAAATAGTTTTGTCTACCCTTTTTTATTCACAATACTTGAGTAAATCTGTGGTATGGTTTTTCAAGCACTTCCCAACAGTGACACATACAAGGATTGTCTCATATATATATATATTTCATTGGCATGCAACTGAAACATATGGAGGGACAGGTGTCCAACTGTCCAGTGATCCTATGACCACACCCAGTTATGGGACTGATGATGATGATAGAAACAAAATAAATAAAAATTAAGATATACTAAGATAGGATGTAAAACTTGGAAAGAAACTATTCATGCAAAACATTTTTTAAATAAATGACTGAATCTTTTGTAAATAAATTCATGTGCGACTTTTTTTTTTTGATTGATAAGATGGATATTATTTTTCAAAAATAAAAATTCAAAATTCTTCTGCATTTAATTGAATAAAGATTATAAATAAATGTGAGGCATCAAAGTCTAAGAGTTGATGGTGCCACCGATTCCATACTGCAGGACGTATTTTTTGTCTGAAAATAATACTGAATATAATGAGTGCAACTTATACATTGAAAAATATGGAATTTAAATTTCATCTTTTAATTTTTGTGATCAGTTTTTTTAAATTTTTTCATGTCTTCACAATGATCCAAATATATAACAAAATATTCTTTGCAGCTTAATATTTGAATATTACAAAATGATAATATCTGTATTATTTGAATTGACTAGCTTAGTTTAGTTTGGCATAAGGCTAAAAGTTTAGAGCACAAAAGATTGAATTCCCACAGCAGAACTGGACTAAGACTTATTTGCTTACCATTGCTGCATGGTAATTAACTCCCATGTTTCTTTTATATGAATCCATTTATTGTTAAAAAGAAAGACGAGTCAAAATGTTAACTTCTATGTCATTAGATTTTGCAGGCAGACAGTCATGGAGAATTGAAAAATCAAGATCAGCTAGCACAGTTTGCATTAATTATGCACTAATGCCCTTGGAAAAGGCATGAATAAAAATCTCTCTGACCAGCTATGAGTAAATAGAGGGGCATTAGGAGCCTTTTAGCACCCCACTTCTGATAAACCATAAGGCAGTGTATCTTCAGTGTTATGCTAATACCCCCAGCCCTATCAAAAATTTACAATTACTAAAAACTATGATTACATATTCCTGAATCATTTCAGATATGAAACAATGATTAGCTTAGCACAAGGCCATGACAAAGTGTTTAGTGAGGATTGAAATGACTTCAACAGTAATGGTTGATGAAACTCACTTGCTAATTATGAGATGTCCAGCTACCATATTATGATGTCAGTAGAAGGACTTTTGCTAACTGAATTTGTCAGTTAAGTTTTTTTAAAATCCCTAAAGACAAAGGAATAAAAAAATGAAGGTCTTGAATGAACTAAAATAAACTGTAAGGATCTTTCTTTTACTAGGTTGCAATTTCAGATTCCAGTCTGTTTTTTATTGGAAAAGTATTGATTGATTTAATTATTTCATGAAAATACAAACTGAAGATGGCTACTCTGTCCATAAATAACAAACTACAAGGATTAATAGCATACCTTACAGGTAATTGAAAAAAGAAAAGAAGACAATAACTAATGAAGCTGGTAGCAAATAAAAATTCAGATATATTTAAATTAGCATTGGCGATGTGAACTTGGAAGTGTTTAATTTTTGTCTGGTTTATTGTCTGAATTATTCATTTCTGACAAGATTTCTAAAGTTTTCCATTTGTTTGCATTTTATTTACTTTATTGAAAGGAACTCTCTCCTCAACTAGCAAAGTTGTTTACTGCCTGATTCTTGTTTTGCAAATAAAACAAACCTATTGTTTGTACAAATACTTAAAATTTGCTTCCTACTTGAATCGTTTCAATGCTCTGCCTAAAATCTACAACATTCCAATTAACCCCTTTGGCATTTTTTTTAGTTTCCTCTTCTATAAAAAAAAAATATCCAGGGTAAAACTGATTTCCATTAAACTCTTTCTCTCATTAATAAATGCAAATAAAAATAAAACACATACCACTCCAGTTAGACAGAAATATTTAGAGAACTAAATTAGTTGAAAACCAAATTATTGGAAACCATGAAATAAAGACTATAACAGAAAGATACCAGCTTGTGGATCAATTTGGCCTGAGTTTACAGACAATATCAAATTGGAAGAATTATTTTTCCTCTAGGATTTATTTGAAGCCAGACATTTTTAAATGAATATTGTCTAATTTGTTCCTACATATCTACCACCCAACCATGTGCATAATTGACACCCCTAAGCACAGTGATTATATTTCCATATTATTTTTCTACCCACATATCCACTGTATGGACTTACAAGCATAAATTCAGTCTATGTAAAACTTAATTTTCTCATGAGAAATTTCTCTTGAAAAGCCTTGCTACAATTCTAAAAAACGCACTGAAACTATTTTCATGAAATACTTTACTATCCATGAATGTAGTTATAATTTTATAAGCATGCATATGACATATTAAACACTTGAAATACATCTGTATATAGATCAGTTATTACAAATGTCGTATAGAAGAAAAAGAGATTAAACATAGAAGAATAGGCTGCACTAGTCATAGTTTATACAATTGCTAAAAAAAATTAAAAATTAACCTAAAAATAAGAATTCATGTTCTTAAATAGCCTCATTACATCAAGACAGCCATCTCTTAATTACTGTTGTTTCTAGGTCCACCTTGATTCAGCATGGTAGCACCTGTTAGGGTCCCAATTATGGGCAAATAGTGAATCCTCAAACTGGGATCAAAACATGAAAATATAAAAAATACATTAGAAAAAATTACTAGCAATACATTTTCATAGTAAAAATTCCATAAATACATTATTAGGAAAAAAATTTACCAAAGATCACAAGAAAATAAAATTTCAGCATTAGATGACTTATAAGGAGTTGATATGCTATTAAACAAACAAACCAAACCAAATCAGATTACATCAGATCAAGACTTTCATATGGATGTCATAGATGGCACCAAACCCATTGAGAAATATCTAAATTGTCAGCTATATACAACCCTGCTTTGTAGGATCATTTATTTAAAAATGTCTGTGTCAGGGAAGCATGACAGTTCTGGCAAAGACCATTCGTCTTTGAAGATTGTGAACTGGTGCTCCAGAATCACAAAGAACTATATCAGATAACAGAAACCACATCACTTGAGGACTACCAACTTCAGCAACAACTAAAATGGATAGCACATGTAACTCAAAGAGAACATA